TTCTAAGCCGAAAAGAAAAATTGAAGAGAGTAAAACTAAAAAGTATCATTATCAGTTAAATTTGCTTTAATAATGAACTCTCAGAAATAATCCAGAAACTATATTTCCGCAATAAAAAAGTTTATTTTACTATCGGAATATCTTTGAACATTACAATGCACAGAGCAATAAAACTCATTAAAGATGCATTAAAATTTCATATGTAATGTAATAAGATTTGATACTTAGTCCAGCAAAACTGGATCTTGAATATCGAATTTGCCTTTATAAAATGATTAGTAGAAGCTGAATTTTCAAATCATTCAATTAAAAATTAGTTCTGAAAACCAAAACTCCTCAATATCTTAAAAATTTCTGATATGTTGTTTTTATCTCATTTATAGACATAATATCATGTTTTCATAAAATCATATTCCTTGAAAATCAGAATTTAAAATTTCAGCAAGGAAAATTTACATTTATTAGTCTTAAATATACTCTCAAATGTGTGGAAATTATAATATATATATAATATATGATATAATTAAATACTCTGGCTATGTTAAGAAAGGATTGGTGGACAGACTTCTTGATTTTCAAGTAGAGTATCATAAGGCAATTTTCCATACATTAAATAAGATTGCGGGAATTTTGCAACACAATGAGGTGTATTATTATATTATTCAGTAACATGAGGTAACAATTTTGTCCGTGCAATATTAGCCTGATAAGAATTTAATTTACAGTTTTATTATATTTGTTTGAGTAACTCGTTCAACTTTACCATTAGTTTAAGGCCCGTTAGTAGTTAATAATTGTTTTACATTATGATTTCTTAAAAAGTGCTTAAATTTGGAAGAAGCAGCATTTCTATCACTTAAAATTTTCTTTGGTACTTGAATTTGAAAAATTTGTCTTAAACTATTTATGTAACTATCTGTAGTTACACTTTTAGAAGCAAAAAATCCATATTTAATAAGTAGCATGATCAATAATTAAGTGAATATACATTTTAATATAATTATAATAGTTTAAATCACCAACAGTATCAATAGATAATAATTCAAAAGGTTCACATTAAACCAAATCTCTTTTGTTTACTTTTCTTATTAAACTGACATACTTCACAATGTTTACAAAAAATTTTAGCATCTTGGACAGACAATTCCTGACCAATAATATTGACAAGATTAATATGAGCCTTTTAAAGTAATTTAGTACAAAGACAGATTGCTATTATGATTTTGTATAATCCTTGCTTTTTAATAGTTAACACATCATTAATTTCTTTATACTTAGGATTATATACATTATCTAAATTTTGATGCTCTTTAATTTCTTCTAATTAGAATAAATTAACTTCCAAACTTAAATGTTGACAAATAGGATTTCTAGTTAACATATCAGCTTCAATATTAGTAGAACTATTTTCATATTTTATATCAAAATCATGCATAGATAATTTTAAATACCATCTAAATAACCTACCTGTAAGATCTTTAATGTTCTTAAGCCAAACTAAAGCAGCGTGATCAGTGTGTACAGTAAAATAATTACTGAGTAAGTATTAATAAAATTTATCTGCATCACCAATACAAAACATTCTAATTCAGTAATTGCATAATTTTGCTCATAAGACCTTAATTTTCTAGAATGAAAACCAATTTGGATGTAGGTTCCCATCCTGGTGCTTCTAACAGCTTCTTCAGATGCATCTACAAACACATAATTGCATATGTAAGATATAATAAAATATGATGGCTATGTTAAGAAATAATTGGCGACCTTAAAATTGACTATCCTAAATTTTATTTTCTCCCCCCTCCCCAAGTTCATCTGTTCTCCCAAATTCAAGATCTTTCCAAGATATTCAATTATATTTCCGAATTTCTGGGTTTACGCATCCATATTTCTAACTCTGTGATTAAAATATTATGCATTTAAATATATACACATAGTACCTACTAAGTTTTCTCATCGTACAAACTTCTAATATATCACATATGTATAATAATATACAAAGATTACTTAAAAGTAATATCCAAGCATACAGTTTATATTTTAAATGAAAAAATATTTTGTTGTGAAAAACATTAATATAAATATAAATTAATTGCTGGTATGTAATGGACAACTATTGCTGTTACCTATATAAAATAATACAGTACAACAAATGAAGTCTTTAAAATTATTGATTTATATAAGATATTTAAATACAATTCCATAATTTTTAATATTTTAATACAGAAACAAGAAATTAAATTACAAAAATAATAAAATTACACATATATTTACTAATGCATGTTTAGAGAGCAATTAAAATTAAAAAAGTGAAATGCACTAAAATTATTTTCAAGCCAAAAAATTATATTGGTACATTTCTAATATATCCTTTGTTAGTTATGCTTACATAGCAAGTGTTTTTAGTTTTCTTTTATCTGAATATTTAGAAAAGCTGTCATTTTTGAATTTACAATAATTGTTTAAAAGAGTATTTGTGCATGAATATATAAGCAGTTGCATAATTTTACGTGACAAATGGTTTTTACAGGAAATAATTTTAATTTCCTTACACATAAGAATTTCTATTGCCATAGTGGATATTAAATTACGTTGGTTACATACTTGAAGGAAACTATTTTCATATTCAGGGCTTATGAGCTTCTGTATGACAATAAAATTATGCAGTATTACATTAATGACATCAGCAGATGGGTACTTTAACCCACCTCTATCACAATTATGAATATGTTTGAAATTGGGAGGAATTACTAGTGGTTTTTCAATAACTAAATTACCTCCACAGTCATCACATTTTAGCCTATTCATAACTGAGTGGCAACAATATCCAGCCAAGTATGCAATTAAAGATAATTTATCAACCATAGTTTCAAGATCATTATCTGTGACATTAATATGCTTGAAATTATGAAAATATTTTACAATAGATTCATGGGAACTATCATTAATCAAATCAAAAGAGTTAGAAAAATCATCGATAACAATTGTCCCTTTACTTTTCGATATCATAGTTAGATTTATTACAGAACATGCCCGTAGTTTGTTTTCTACTTCAAAAACTTGTCGAAGTGATATATGATAATTTGTTCCAGCCATCCTGCGATATAAACTAAAACGATGTTCCAATTCATCTGTCTGAATTTTACCGGGCAAAAAATACGACATGTTGAGTTCACCTAGACAATACCTACGCATTTCTATCATACACGTTGTTGTTAATATAAGAGCAGAAAGTGTCTCTTTTGTCAACCTACCCGTATCACTCTTCATTTCTTTCCATTTCATCAACCAATCAAGAAAATTATTTTAAAATACAAACTTCTTGTCTGATTCATTCCATACTAATGGTTTACAGAAGTCATCACAAGAATGTACCCCCTTGTTTGGTGTTTTAACATTCATTATTGAAAACCACGACGAAAATATTTTAATATATATAGATGTTTCGTGAAAATTTAAAAAATTATGCTTTACTCATAATTCTTTCAGGCCTTGTGATGTTTGATCGTTGAAAATTTTTAAAGCCAGTTTCACACTTTGACGTTCTAAATTTGTAGGCCACAGAGCTTTACGAGATATTGTATATCCATATTTTAACAAATTACCACTTTCAGCTTCATACATATTTTTTAAAGTAAGAAAGAAATGAAGAGGTACATACATTATTTGAAGAAAAGTCAAAATTTGGAAAATACATAGCTTGTTCAGGGTTTTTCTGGTTTAACCAGTTGTTACGAACACTTTTAATAATATGAACAGAATCAACTGCATAAAACAATGTACAAGTTGCATCAACAGGATGAGGAAATACAAAATTTGATAAAGGATTATTAAACAGGGATATACATCTTCTATTAATGGAATTATTGTCACTAACAACAACAATTACTTTGAAACCTATTGCTTCAAGACCAACAATTATTTTTTTCAAAACAGTGAACAAAACTTCAGCTGTCATTTTCTTCGATGGTAATATATGGACAACATCTTTAAAGCAGCACAAAATACTCTGTATCATAAATACATGTGCACTAGAAGCTAAGTTATCAACTTCCTGGCCAATTCCAACAATATCTCCACTTTTGTAGTCAAGAAAAGGTCTGATGTGAATTTCATCCATCATTAATGAAAACATATAATTCATGCTCTTTCAGATAGCAAGCTTTTTGCTTAGCATATGCCAAAAACAACATATCATCTGTTTCCTTTTGGGGATTTACATTTAATTTAGAACTTATTTTATGTATAGTACTTGGATGAGGCAAAATTAAATTACCAGATTGTCGGACAAATTTATATGCTTGGGGCGATAACACAAATAAAACATAGAAGCTAAAATTAAGGTATTGGATGAATATTGACGATTTTGGGGCTTACATTTTACAAGAGAAAGTTGTTCAATCATGAACTCAAATAAAATTTTATCACCTTCATTTGTGAAACTTAAAGATTTCATCAGGGTGATTATAATTTCAATCGAATTCATTAAGTCTTTAGTTTCTAACATTTCAATATGATCAAGTATTTCATGAATTTCATTAATATTACTTACTTTTATAGGTAACTCATTATACTTACTACTGATATGAGTCAATAACTTATTTTGAAACGATACAGATAATAAAAGATCTGCAGTAATGTGGACTGCATAAAGCAATTTTACACATCCATCAGTGCATTTTAAATTCAAAAACATCAAGATATTGTCTTTGTGCACAACGTTCCAAAATGTAGAAAATGTATATTGCGTACAACAGGTTAAAAGTTCATTAAAGTCTGAAAAATGTCCTCGATTTATAATACTCAGCAGCTGATAATTTACTATGAGCAATAGCTTTCATCATGAGGTTTGCTTCTCGTTCCATTTTTTCTCATTCGGATTCTCGAACTACCAGCTTGTGAAGATAAATACGATGGACAGCCATCAAATATGCTAGGAAAAGCGCCTTCTTTTAGTTTTGGTCTCTGCAGTGAAGCTTTAATGATTTTCCCATTTTTTCATCGAAAGCTGATGTTTCCCAGATGAGGTCATCAGGTTGAAAATGTTTATGGCACACCTATTAAGTAAAAGGAAGACATCATGTAACTAACTTCTTAAAACAACCAACTGTAAAGCAAGATCGGATCACTTTCCTTATAAATAAAAACATTCAAGCTTTGGCAATGCTTTGGGCAGGTTAAATTTTAAATGCATATATGCAAATTAAAATTTTCTTTAAATATTTAAGGATCAGTTAACACTACATATAAAAAATCTGATCATGACAGCATACGACCTCCCGCCTATTCTATGGCTTATACAGCAACGAGCTTCGAAGTATCATTTGCCCTTGATTGTTTGTAAATTAAATGTAATTTGTTGATTCATCAAATAGAAAACTATACACTGAAACCTATTTATACATGTTGGCGGGTAAAAATAGAGGTAAAAAACCTTACTATACATGTTGGTGGAAGGTATATACTTGAAGAAAGTTTCCATAGCAGACTAAGAATATTCTACCAACAATTTATTGAATCTTAATAAATTAATTAAGATTACACCTACCCGAGAATATGGAGTTGCTGAGAAGTCCTTCCTAGGTATATTTCTTAGCCACCTCTCTCTAAGAGCATCATTTTTGGGAAAGGAAAATGTATGCACCTTTTCAGTACCTTTATAATTTTCCCGACAACCAGTTACACAGCATTTAAATGGCACATTTTCTGTAAAAACAGTACAAAATCAGTTATATAAATACTAAATGTTATAACAATTTAAATTTGCATAATTATACATTGAAATTCGATACACCATAAACCAACGGTGGAGAATTTCAAATGTCATTCAAACATCTGAATGAATGAGACTTCAAGAAATTCGTATCTGAAGAACACCTAAGCTTCTATTAAGATATCTATTATTATACTGAAATTATTACTCGCATCAATGATGATAATTTTGATATTTAAAACATGCTGAAACAGTCAAATGAAAATAATATCAAACTTCAGGTGAATCATGTTTAGAATATTTAGAATATTGAACAGTAAAATATATACCTGAAATCTGAAGAAAGACTTTGTTTGGTAAACTAAACACTATTTATGGAATGATAAGATGAATTTACTGCTTTAATATTTAAATACATTGTATGCAAATACACAGTATAAATTTATAAACCACATAAAATACTTTCAATAGTGATAAATACATCTTTCAATAGTGATAAGTTAATATATAATTAAACTCAAAATAAAACAAACGTTTTTACTAGACTGTTCTTCAAATACTGAACGCTTTGATCACATAACTTTAAAAAGTTTGCCATTCTCACTTATACTTACTCTCATTATACAATGCACTCACATTTATTCTACACACTCACATATTAGCGTACATACGTTTGTTAACTGATATACGTAATTATTAATTTAACTAGATTTATTGTATAGGTTTACTTTCAATTACATTTTTAAAAAACTGTTCAGCTTTATATAAATGATTAGGTTAAAAAAATTCGTAAAAACAGTAATGAAATAATAAAAAACTTTTATAAAAGAAAATACGTAACATTAGATACTGCCACATATAAATTAAAACTTCGGTGATGCACTTAAACAAAATATATTAAGTAAATTCAGAAATAAGATTAATAATAATAATAATGGCTAATCAATACGAAGATAAACATAATAAGTATACGTGTGTTACTAATAATTAAGCAATTAATACTTAATTTAATTCAACATTAGTAATAGCAAGCGTTTATTTCAATGAACAAAATATAAAGTTACATTTCAATAAATACGAACTTACCAATTATTTCTTCTCTCCGACAGCACGTGCTAACATTCTAGTCTATGTACACCGCAAAGCAATGGCTTCCCAATTGAGAATCCAAACCTCGAGAACATCACGTGGGCCTACTAACTTTGACGTCACACTTGTTTCTACAACCTGTCCATTGGCTTTATAATCTAGGAGGCACTGGCAGTGGTCAGCAAACTTATTAGTCAACAGAGCCAATTATCAACAGTTCAACGATTGAAATAGCTTTTGAGAGCCACATTTTTTAAACTACTTAAATTATACAGGTAGGTACACTTAATTGTTATTCACTTAATTAGGGTACTCCTACACTGGCTTTTACAAAGAACGTTATCAACCTGATCAACGTACGTTCGCTGAGATCGACTTTCTTCTAACTCTCCCATCCACGCTTGTCTTGTATAATCTGTAAGGTTTATCCTAAGTTTTTAACAGTTAATGTTTCCTTTAAGCCACTTTTCTATCGCTTCTTAATTTCAGCTTACAACTTCCAGAACGTGTTTTTAGAAGCGCGGTTAATGCATATGAAGGAAGAACAAGTATTTAAAGTTGAAGTTCTACTTGACTTCGTTAGAGAGCCAGATATTCCGAGCAGCGCTCGTTCGCCTTTTAGGCTACTCTCTCTTAAGCTATTATTACGCTCGGCCGTACTTTAGGCCCTAGATAGCTTCGCCGTTTAGTTAGCGTTAAGAGACCAACTCTATTAGAATCTTGATAGCTTCGGCTATATCTTTTTAGTTAAGTTTTAACTCTTAGTATTCCTGAGTTCAAGCCCAAGTGGCAGCTTTGTTGTAAACTCCAAGAAGGAGTCGTCTGTTAAATTTATTTTGAATAATAAAGCATATTTAGCCTTTCTTGAATTCTGCTCTCTGTCTACTGAACTAAGCGATTATTCGCTTACCAGTTCTTAATTCCTGAAACTCAGGAATTCAGAAGCAACGACGTTAGCCTTTTAAACTTCTCTCATGTTTAAAACTGTCCTTTTGAAATAGCAAATGTCAATATTAGAATTATATTCTTGGTGATTTTTCAAAAGGCTTGGAAAGTGAATCAAAGCTTCTCTTTCAAAATCTTGAGCAAAAAGAGGTAATGAAATAACATCTTCTAACATCGAAAGAATAGTGTTTCCTTTCCCCTGTAGTTTATGATTAAGATGATTTAGATGAGATGTAACGTCGATCATGAAGAAACATTTTTGGATTCACTGATTGTTCGTTAGTTCTGGATAATTAACATCCTTTTCAAGGAGAAATGTTTTAATTAACAAGTCTCCTGACTGACTGGCTCACAAAAATAATAACCACTTGCTCAATTCGTAGATGAATTGAGTGCGGATCGCTGGTGGGGGAGCCTCGGTCATAAAACGAGTCCGTCGCCTTAAAGGAAGGGACACAGTCGAACGCGGATATCAGTGTTATTCCTGTCGATACAACTGGTACTGAAATCAGTACAGTGGCCTGCTTATCAATACATGAGTAAAAATCTTACTAGAATCAGTACAATGGCAATTTTAACTTGATACACCAAATAACGTAAAAATAAAATTTCATGTCAAAATATCTGGGTTTTTAGTTTTTAAACATTTCCAATTTGATGTTTCTCACATTATATGCAACCCAAACATCGGTTATGTATTTAATATTGCGTAAATTCAGTTGCTAGGAAAATTTTGTTTTAGATACTGGAAAAGCTACTAGCTAAAAATCCTGATATTTTGAAACTAAATTTCATTTTTACGTTATTTGGTTTCTCATTCAAGTTAATATTGTCATTGAATGGTATATTAGTTCAAAACATTTCATTATCAGCTAAAATTTGGCATATGACAATTACTATGACAGCCCAATTTTATGTATAATCAGTACAATCAAAACGTAATCGGTACAAAAAATTTCCCAGGAATAATATTGGCGGATTTTCATGCTTGTGTAAAATTGGACGGGGTTTGTGTTTTATTTTCAAGATTTTCTTGCTTTTACGTGAGAGCGTCGCATGTGCTATTTTTTGGAAGATCCATACTCAAGGAGCCAAAAGAGCCACGGTTTGCCAACCACTGGTCTAGAGGATCTTTGGTAAAGAGGCTGGTGATTGCATTAAATGCTAGCAATCAACTTCAGTCGATTTCCAGCCGCAAAATGGTAAGAGAATTTTGCGGTATTCACTACATAAAACCTAATGCGATTAAACAATTAAATAACAAGTCGATCTCAGTGTTTCATCACTGTTATTAATTTTGGTTGATACTAAGATACAGCAATTCCCATTAGAATGTTCTACATTAAGGCATAACTTTTATGATAGCTAGACCTCAATTGTTCATCTTACCTCCCGTTACCTTCAGTAGGTCTTTGTAATATTTCATATTAAAATATAGCATAGGAATAAAATAATGAAATAATCTTACAGGATTCATTGCTAGGTTAAAGCGAGTGAAATTAAGCATTTTGAGGAACTAACATCCGTCAGATTGCAATATTTAAGGTCATAATTTCGATCTGGATTTTTAAGAATTAAATATTCGAAGGCGGGTGCTGGTTTTGGTATCACTAGTGGTAAAAGCATTCCAATTAAGCAGGAAATAATTTGTGCCCTGGATTTATATCCAAGACTTATTCCAGGTCTCTACTGCATTAGTAGCACTATCAAACACTGTATCTCAAAGAATGCTTTCAATAATTTTTCTATCCTGTTTTTATTAATATTTCCGTTTCTTTAGAGTTTAGAATTTAAAATTTCCCTTGCAAATGCGCGTGGGAAGAAAATTCAATAACTTAGAATTTGCATTGGAAATATTCTCCGAAGTATTCGCAAAGTATTTCGAAACACCCGGTGTTACGCGTTACTATTTTAAGATCTGCAAAGTTAATACATAAATAGCCGAGCAGCCTTTGAAAATACCCAGAGCGGCATTTGATGTAGAAACCTGCTTTAATCCTTTACCATTAATAGCAGCACAGCACTCTTTCTAAGCTTCTATAGAAAAGGTTACTTTAGCTACCGCTTAGAATTTCTAAAAGAGGAAGTCTTTCGCAAAATATTTACTCTCTCAGGGACCGGTATTCTAGAAAATATGATAACTAATAAGATGAGATTCCTTAATCATATCTAAAAATTAGGAATTATTAACCTTTTTCTTGCATCGGCCTCTTTTAAAGGAACGGTTTTCTTCAATAATTCCCTTACATTTTTCTGTATGATATACAGTATGCAGCATAATGATAATACATATAGTTACGCCACATAAACAACTTAAAGATAACAATTAGATAAATAGCTCAATAACTTAAAGATAACAATACGAACAAAAGTTGTGAAAAAATGGTTTATTAGATTTATGATTAGTTATTTGCATTATCATTTTAAATTTTACAAATATAAACCGGTTCTCGGAAACAAAATCACAGATCCTAATTGCACAAAAGTTTGATTTTAGTTAGTATAATGATTGCTCTTAATGTGATGATGCAATGTTTTTAGTATTTGACATAAAATTTCTTAATTGAAATTTTAAATCACTTCGTTCAAAAATATTCAAACAGTTTCTTGTTTTGTATTCCAATTTTGTGTTCTTCGTACTTTTCGTTTTGCGTATGTATTTTTGAGTTTTATTTTTATACTGCGCTTACTGCATAAAAGATTCATATTTAAAAAAATATATTAAATAATTTTTGTGGATTCTTCCCTTATATTTATTTTATTTGTTTTCTGTGCTATATAATACAACTTTATGTGAATAAACAATTATAACTTAATATTTTTTGTGATGAATGGGATCTTGATTCTACTGATCAACTGGCGATGAATATTTGGCTAACGACCCCTTTAACATTTTATCGACAACCAGGGGATCAATACCGAATTATGCTGGGAATCCCTCTTTTAGTTTATTCT